AGAGAGAGAGAGAGAGAGAGAGAGAGAGAGAGAGAGAGAGAGAGAGAGACAACACAAAGTATTGTCCTACCACATGCTATCACACTCTGACACATATCATGTTACTGAAACTTTACAGCAACAAAACACAACTCAATTCTCACCTCAAAGAAAATACATTTCTGAGCCAAATATGAGTGACTATGGCCTGAGAATATGGACTCAGACTTCCTCCAAAATCTATATTTTAGTGTGGAAACGGTTTTGTTGTTGTTATTGTTGTTGTTGTGTTGTTGTTTTTAATGAATATAAGAAATTAGAAGCACTTTTCAAATACACTTGTGAAGGGCTCAGTCGGATAGGTGCCACAGAGGGGGGTCATTTCTGTCACAGGTTTGAGATGCTTCTGATGGTATTCTTTGTTTGGAATTTGGGTGTTGCTGGAAAACTAGGCAATTCCAAAATGATTTACTTGATAGTCACAATGGTGTTAGGTGAGTAGCTACTAAGGGAGTAAAAGATAGCCCAAGATAATTGAACTCTGGATCAATAACATTCCTACTTTCCACCATCATGGAAGTTCTAATAAATCAAGTAGATTAACAGAATCTTTAGCTCAGGTGTGGCTTTGTTCAGTTCACAGAGGAAATGGTTAATTGTCAATTCAGAGCAGATAAAACTGAGACATTATCTCTGGCTGACTACCCTGAGCTCCCAATCTTTACACATTTTGGACACAGAGCCTTTAAATCAATACTACTCTAGTCAGTTTGACCATGAGTATATGATGCATAAAATAAATACAATATAACAAGCATTTCCTGATTAATCATTTGATAAAGATCAAATTAGAAAATCTCAAACACTCAGAATACTTAATGTGTTTAATGTTATATTACTAAATGTCAAACACAGCATAAATGAAGCCTTTGCAAATCTTATATGAGCAATTGGCTGTCAAATATATGACTGTTATTCAAATGATTCAATCATTATCAGTCATTAGTGAATTCAATAATGTTATTGTTAATAACAACAACTATAAAGTTATTGTTATCCAACAAAACCCTAAGATGGCATTGGCCACAGTTATACTACTCAAGGCAGTATTGTATATTGTATAAGGGTTATAAAATACAATTTCAAAATTCAGATTTTATATTTTCAATACTATATGGAAAAGGTTAGTGGTGGATTTTACTAAGTAGTGAGACTCTGATTATTTTTTTTAATTTTCTGGTCGGTTTTTATTCAAAATAATATATAGGTATAGCTTAAAAACAGGTATTTTTATAGCTTTCCAGCTCCATGAATGGTATGAAGATGTTCAAGTGATCAATAGAGGTAAAAGTTTCAAAGTTGTTTTTATTAATGAAGGTGGAATAAGGCCAAGATTTACAATTATTGCAATCACTTCTTAATTATGATTCTCCTCTTGAATGCCACCTTCAAGGCTGCAAGTGTGGTTCCTCTACTGAGTGCTTGCACTTCAGAGACCCGTTTCTTGGAGTTCTTTCTACAAAACAGCTCTGGATCTTGTCTCAGAGGAAAGCTGTGACTCTGGATCTTGGTGACAGTGAGACTGAGGGAAGCCTCTTCCCTCATGATGAAAAGAAGCAGAGCAGCTGCATCAGCAACAGAAGAGCAAGACCAGCTGGTGCCCACCAGTTTTCATGCTAGGGATTTTATAACTACATTCTGCTGTCCGCTGATTTCCTTCTTCTGAAAACTGAGACATTTAGTGTGGAGTCATTGCAATGAACCAATGAAGGTCATTCAACATGTAAAATGGTGATCTTTGTTATGCTAATTTCCAAATTTTTTAATGCACTTTTGAAAATTTTCAAGTTCACAAAATTTTGAGGGTGCTCTCTTCAAGGATTGCAAAATTAATGATTTTCATTAAGGTTTTCATACAAAGTTGGAACTCTTTATTGAAAAATATGTGCATGCTAAATTATGCCAACTTATTTATTAAAACTTCATCATTAATATTGATAATATATTAAAGATTTAAACATGTAAACTCATAACGACCTACTTTTGGAGTGTGATAAAGAGAACTACCATAAGAAAATGTTATTAAATTATTATATATGAGAGTAAATAATTGATAAGAACAAATGAAGATTTTATAATGAGCCAAAAAAATGATAAAGTAATGAAAAATATCCTAAAACTTAACTGGGCTTGTAATCCTTGTAATACATTGTGAGGATGTGGATTTATGCTGGCTTTGTGTAAAGATTAGTTAAATCCTAATGCCTTTTTTCCAGTTCATTATAAGTTTTCTCTCATTTGTAAGTGATATTTTGCCTTCCTTTAGGCTTGAATCACCAACCAGATCCTTGATAATGGAAGCTCCACGAGGGGTCCAGGTGAGCGCAGCCGCAGGTGACTTCAAGGCTGCCTGCAGGAAGGAACTGCACTTGCAGTCTACAGAAGGGGAGGTGAGTGTCCAAGCAGGGCTGACCCTCCGATGCCAAAGCTGCTGCTTTACATGTCTTTCTTATGCATCAGGTTCCATGAGTCACAAGGAGCCACTTCGTGAGAAATTGCAAACCTGGGAAATCTTGATTCCTCTTAATTATGGGATTTATCAAGCAGCTTTTACTTTCTACTGAAAAGTATTCATTCCCAGGACAATTTGAAGCAGTCCTCCACATTCTTGTTGCTTCAACAATTAGCTTTAAACATTAAAATGAAAACGCTCCCTTTTTACTTTTCTCTGTGGATCTTCAGAATGTTTCTCCAATAGATGAATCAGTTTGAAAGGTAGGTTTGAGTCAGAGAGGAACAAGAATTTTGGATACATTGCTGTTGCCCAAATGGGCCCCTATAGACAACAATAATGATATAGACATTTCAGAAGTCTTGGAGACAAAATTTGGAAGGGTTTCACCCTAAAAAAAATTAATAATTCTCTGAGTAGCTGAATATAGTGAACCTAACTTAAATATCATACAGTGCATGCATGTTGAAAATTGTAAACATCCACTAACCTACATTTTTTATACTTTTATATATCTAATCACAGTTTATTCAAAAGAAAGGAAATCTTTTTGCCAAAGTACTTCGATGTTGGTGTGTTTGTTCATTTCTGTGTTCTACAATAGATACACCAAAAAAAGAGAAATGATCACTATTAAAAACAAAAGTTCCTACGTTCAGATGGAGTCTAAACTACTTCATAGCACCAGATACTGTATTCAAGGCATTACATGTAGTAGTTGAAATGAAGGGAAATGAATTGTACTGAAAATCCAAGGTTGTGCTGTGGGCAATCAATGCCATTTTAGATTCAATGCTACAAGGAACTTCCAATTTGGCATTGAAGGAAACAAGAGTCATAACTGTAAATGAGGGGTTATAGCGATATGACTACATCCACAGGGCTATAACACACAACAATATACATGCTGGAATATTGGAGACTTTATATTCAAAAAAATGATTAGCATTTTCAAAGAGACAAATACCACTGATTTCAACAGGTATGAATGAGATAAATGATTCTTGTTAGAGAGAAGATGGGGAGTGCTGAATTCAAAGCTTAGGGGTACCATTCTAGTGACAGGATTGAGTTTCAGAGCAGATGGATTGTGTAGTTTATGGGGCAATACAGAACAGACATACCAATTTCAGAAGTTGGAAAGTGAACAATATCACTGTAACTGCCTTGGCAAAAGAGAAAGAGGTGGGCAAGTCCATCCATGCTGCAACCTGGAGAGGCTCAGACATGTGGTGTTCTCATTCAATATCTCAGTTTTCTTAATTTCCTGCCAACTTTCTGAATGAAAGAAATGGCAGCAGCCAATGTGAATGGACTTATTAATGAAAGTTTCCCCTTTATATGAGTGAAGATATTCCTTAAGCATATAGTTTATATATATACACATTGATATATATATATATATATATATATATATATATATATATATATATTTAAACGTATAAGTGTGTAAAACAAATACCCCACACTGAGAGAATAAAATATATAACAGTTCTGAGACAGATGCTTTGTTTAAGTCATGGGAAATATAAAAGATGAGCAGATGAGCTACATGAGGTTAGGGGACTAGGGCAGATCATGCAAGATATGTGGCCTAGGGGAAAAACCCAGTTTTTACTTGAAAGGAGAGGGAAACTATAAAAGAGCTTTGAGCATTAGAGAAACATTGTTCAATTTACATTTCTTTAAAGTTCACCCTAACAATATGATGAATAGACAAGGAGAGTACAAAGTGGATGTGGATGGCCTCAAAGCCTGCAACAGAAGTACTATTAAGAAATAACGAGGTCAAGAAAGGAGAAAATTGAGCACTGTTTCATCCTCCTGTCAACTTTGGGAGTCTACGATTAAGAATAAGTTAAGGGTCAATGAGATAGCATGATAGGTAAAGGCACAAGCTGCCAAGTCTGATGACCTGAGTTCAATTTCCAGGACCAGAGGGTGGAAGGCAAGAACCAACTTTGGTTAGTGTCCTCTGACATGCACACTAGTACACACACACACACACACACACACACACACACGCACACACACACTTACAAAATAATCAGTGTAATAGAAATCTTTAAATAAGAGAAGTAACTCCCCAAATTGAAAAATTAGCAAATTAGTTGCTGAAACCAGGTAACATTTAATATAAAATTCAAGCATGATAATATGTAGAATTATCTCTTAGTTCTCATGATTTCCTACATCACTTGATCTTTAGACTGTGAGACATTTCTGGGTGTTTTAGAAATGACTTTACTCATTCTTTCATAAGAATTAAAAAAGCAGGTAAAGGAGTATATTTTTAATTAATTCCCCCCTCTTCATTAATATTAACCCAACTAGTATTCTTCTTTCTCTATATAATTCTCAGACATGACTAAGAAATGAAATGGAAATCCTTTACTGCAGTCTCTCTCTCTCTCTCTCTCTCTCTCTCTCTCTCTCTCTCTCTCTCTCTCTCTCTCTCTTTCTCTCCTCTTCTCTTTCTGTTGTTCTTATTGTTTTTAATAACTGTTGGCTCCATGAGCAAATTACTCATTACTACATTTCATGTTGAATAGTTGCTCTCCAAGCTGTCTCTCAAAGTGGAGACAGCAGCAAAGTTTTTAAATTGCACACAGACTTGTAACCTGTCCATAACTTCGTGACAAACCATGTTGCAAAGTTCTGAGGGAGGTACCATGCTGAAAACGAATTGAGATTTTTTTTTTCTTTCTTCCTAGATTTTTCTAAATGCAGATACAATCCGGCTAGGAAATCTACCAACCGGTTCCTTCTCTTCTTCACCCAGCTCCTCAAATTCTCGACAGACAGTGTATGAACTGTGTGTCTGCCCCAACGGCAAACTCTACCTTTCTCCAGCTGGGGTAGGCTCCACCTGTCAGTCCAGTAGCAGCATTTGCTTGTGGAGCTGAAGCGACTGATTTCTCCTCACACCAGAATAGCCTTTTGTTCCCGTCCGTCTGCTTCACAGTTTTGCTCGGTTTCCCGTGTGATCAGTGCAGAGCTTCTTCAGCCGGACCACAGAGCAAACCGGTCCAGGATCAGCAGGGATTGGCGCCCACCTTCTCCTGATTCACCTGACTCAACACCGTGGGACTGACTCGGCCTCGGGAGAAGCATCTTCAGCAGGAAACCTGGATCATGACATTTGCTCGAAAAGGAGAATAACTTAGGTGCCTTTGCTACGCGGAGTGAAGCACACAGTTTTAGATTTTTGCAGAACCTGGCTACGAACTGCGCACGAACACATTACCAGATGAAATTCCCAAATCCAATGGTGACATGAAACGCTGACCCCCGTCAGAAGACTAATTCTGCAGTCCGAAAGCACAATTTTCCATTCATCTTTTTTGGACGTAAACTTTTATCCCCGAATTTTAAAATTTTGAAGCATTATGTAATGCTTGCTTTACTAAAAAATTAAATTCAATACATGGTTTTTAACTAAATGAAACAAGACATGACAGAGTCCCTGAGTTGTTTTTGTTTCTTTAAATTCAGTGTGTTGGTACTCTTTGTCTACTAAGCCTGGAGTTTTGTACATTAGATAATTTTGAAAGCTCTCAGCAATATAATATTTACGAAATTAACACAAACGCCATTATGCTCTCATTTGTCAGATCTGAATGGCCTTCTATTTATGTGGCTATTGCATGTGACACATTTGCTTTTAACAAAACATCGAAACAATTGCAATATAAGATAGGAGGGATATACTTACAGTGTGGAACCCATTGGTTATTCGTTAATAATTCACATGGTGTCCTTTACCCTTAGGTTTTAATAATACTTTTTTGCTTGCTCCATTTACATTAAACTCTTTTTATTTTTAACTGCTAAAGTTAAACCAGCCTCTAATTAAATGCTAATGTTATACATAATGCTGAGAACGGGTTCACTTTCCACGGGGACATCAACTTCAAATTAAGTATCCTTCTTTAAATTCAGGTTCATATTTAAGAAGGTTAGAAATTAAATTATAAATTCCAGAAAAGGAAATGGTCAAAAGACAAGGGTTCAGCAGAGTGTTGGATGAGTGCTTTCTCCGTTTAGGAATCTAGTCACGCCTCTGTTCCTTGACTGTTAACATTTAGTCACTTCTATTAGACTGTTAAGTTACCATGACATCATGAACCATAGCTCTTTCCATTCTCCGCTGTTCATTTTTATTACCAAGTTCCCAATAAATAATTCCAGAAGATTATAGATTTGTTCATTACAGTACTCTTAATCTCAAATTATTGAACCCGACAGAATACAAGAATGTAAACTTGTATTTTAGATTTCCTAGTTTGGGAACCTGACTTGGTGACTAAAAGGTAAGTCTTTAATTTTCCCATTATTCCCACCTGGTACCTGTGCACACCATTAACAGCTGTGTGGAAGTTGCACTTCAGGGCTCTGTGATTGTAGAATCTTTGAAATTCTGTCCTCTGTAGCTGAGAATGAAGCAAAAGATTGAAACATGTTGATATAATTTGGTTTGCAAGTATTAGAAAATTGGGGCAAATATTAGTAAATTGGGTATTGCAACGGGCAAAGTGACCTCTTTGTCCAAAGTTATCTCGTTTGGGTTCCTAGCACTTCTAGTAACAGGCAAAGCTCCCTATCACTGAGCACATTCCACATTCTGCAGAAGTCTCTGTAAGGTATTTCACTCTGATCATTCTTAAAGTAGTATTGGACTTGTCCTTTGGGGTTATTATATAAGTCTGTAAACTAAAATCAAAATAAAAGTTGAGGTATATAATTGCTTGAAAAGTCATAATGAAGAGCTTAATTCATTTTTAACAAAATTTAATATATGAAGTTCACACATTAGTCTTCACGAAAGAGTCTCACAGTATCTAAGACAAGACGTTTGAGAGTCATGGATGCTGATCACTGTGTTATGTGGAGAAGACAGTGGGCATTAATTTGGGACATACCAGGGTTTTAGCCATGCTAAATTAAAACAATTAGAAAATTTCCTAATCAAAGGATGTTAATGATTGCAATTCATAATCCTCCCTATTTCTAAAGTCTTTTACTAATCAATTAAGCTGAGTTGGGCAATCTGAGACTATCTCTAGGCTTCAGTTTAAAATGAACACTTTACAAACAATAAAAATACCGAATCAAACATCCTCTGAAGGCTTTTTCTAGCACTAACATGTTCTAAGAACATATATTTCAAAAGGTAAAAGGGAACACTGAGAATTTATATGCATACCACAAGATGCCAAGAGTGAAGGGTGGTGAGAAAAAGGAGAAAAGAAACAAATTATAAGTTGGAAATGGTGGCTCACACCTTTAATTCCATCCAGCACTTGGGAGGCAGAACAGGAAGATTTGTGCGAGTTTAAGGCCTGGGTGGTCTGCAGAAGGAGATCCAGGATAGCCAGGCCTATTCAGAGAACATGTCTCAAAAATGAAGCAGAAAACAAAACACACACACACACACACACACACACACACACACACACAAAGTAAGAAGAAAGGCTGGTAAAAATTTCAACTTAATGATATTCTGCAAAGTACAGACATGAAAGTATATAAACTTGGGACATTCAGAATGTTGTTCAAATACTTGTTAAATATAAAAGATAGAATGCTATAGATGACTTCCTTCTACAATACTAAATGAATGACTTGAATTGGTTGCTTCACTGTTGTAGTTTCTTCAGGTACAATAATCTCAAAGTTTAAGCATTTATTAGAGGCTTAGAAGATAAAATATAAAGTCTTTGAATTTCTAAGAGAGAATCATTGTTTCTTTGACAACAAAAAGTTCCAGGAGCTGAAGAACAAATTTATTCATTGCTTTCCAAATTCAGTTTTACAGACCAAATGTGCATAAACACACACAGGTTATGGGATTGGCTTGAAACCAGTTTAAGGGGGTTCGAATCCTTCCTTTCTTATTTAACTTTTACATAGGTGGGACACACACACACACACACACACACACACACACACACACACACATTGTAGCTTATTTAAATGATGCAAATTCTTTCTTCTCTAAATCACAAGGAAAAAATAATACTTTTACGTGTGCCGCATGGACATTACTCAGCCATGATGTTACTTCTATCTTAACATCATATTTAGTTTAGATCCTGCAGGCAAGAAGGGAAAAGGAGGTATTGGAGAAGGAAACTTGCTGGCATTTCAATCATGATCTAGAAATGGATAAACTCAGATGCATTTTAAGTTCAGTTTCTCTGGGGCTCAAAGAGATATAAAGAGCATGCATTATTACTTTGAGTTCATAATACTTCAGTGATGAAATTTAAAAAATCACAAAACAATCCAAGCACACTAAACACCAAACAAAATACACTTTCAGGATGTCGCGGCCCAGTTGGCTAGTATCTACAACATTCCTCACTGGGCTTCTTAGTCTTGATTTTTATTGTGAATCATATTTTTTGCAATATGGAAAATAATCATTTCTCTGAATTTGGACACTAACAATATTCAGTGAAACTACAATTTGAAAATTAGACTATACTGCCCTGGATCTTTGAAAATATTTGCAAGAATTCTGAATTGGGTTCTGGCTGCATGTAATGATTTTAATTGAGTTTAGAAATATTCAATCATTTTGGCTGCAGTTTGTGAGAAAGTTATATTAAGCGAGGTGTTCTCTTTGGTCATGTCCATCTCTTAATTCCACTGATTCTTTAAAGATGTTTAATGACCTTCTCTGAGTTCATCAGACTCTGCTTAAGCTAGAATTTGCAATGACCCACTCCTTAAAAAGCTGTTGATCCATGTCAAAAAGAAAATCTTCCCAGCATCCTATTATTTTTCTCCATATACCTGATTGTGCTCTTACCAATTGGACATCAGTTCCCTTTGGGGAAATCATGTTTGATTGATGTATTCTGTGATATGGATGATATTAAGAAGAGGAATATTTGTGGCTCTTAATTTAAATCCTGTTTTAGGACTTCAAAATAACACCACCAAGTATAAGCACCCTGCTTTCTGTTCTATTATTATTGATCTTTATCAAACTCAAAACCATAGGTATTTGAAAAATATGGTTTTTAATCAATACGGCCAAGTACTAAACTTTTTATACCTATCAAAATTCCTTCATAGACTACTTCTTTAATGTCTTAATTCAACAGTTCTTCATTTTCCAAACACACCATTGGTACATTAATATCTCTAATGGATTTCATCATTGCAAATGTGGTAGATCTTCATAAGGTAGCAATAGCCAGGAGAATATCTAATGCTGTTAGCATTATAGTTTACAGCATACAATTTCAACATCACATTAAATTATAATTGAAGTTATTTAATGGCCTAATCTTCTATATACAACCATCATCACCAAACTCATTTTTGAGTTTTGTACATTTGAGGTATTGTTACCTGATCTGCCTGTAGCTTTGGTCTAATTTGAATTGCTCATGTGACCCTTCATTAAGTCATTTGTTGCATACACTAGCATATATTATGCTAATGATTAGTGCAGAATGTCATTATAACAAGGAAAATAATATCACATTTATCTCCTTTTGTAAATTAATGAATGATCTCATTGGACACATTTGTAGACATTGCTTTAACCTGCAACCTAGTAATCATTGAAATGTCAAAGACCAAAGACCAGAGTTTCTATTGTATTTAACTCTAGACCACTATTGCTTCTACCAATTTATTGAAATGAATAGGGGTTATAGTTATGACACAAGGAAGTAAACATGCTTCTTGCAGGAATCTGAACTACAGCCATTAGTTACTTCTTTAGTTTTAGAAAGAACACTTCAGTAGTGTGCTCTGCATATTTTTATATACGTGTAATGAATGCCTCAGTATTCTTAAAACCAGTATAAAAAGACTACACCCAAAAGGGCCTCAGGATGGATTAACTTACTTGGGTTTAAAATTTCATTGCTTGCCAAAAAATATCTCTGGAAAATAATAATTAATTTGAAGTACTTCTAGAACAGGAGGGCTACTTTCTAAGTGTTAATTGATGTGGGTCAGTCTTTCGGATAGTAAGGAAAAACACTGAAGGGTATGAGGTACAATGAACTGTGATTCTTAATCGATCTCCCGTCTTAAAACAAATTTCTTTTGTTTGACTATTTATAAGTAAAAGCCAAACAGGGTTAAAGATGTGCAAGGACATTTACTAACAATGGAGATCCATAACTTGGAGTTTGTTTCTTTATTTCTACAGTTCTTTAAATCAGGTCCACTACTCATTTATTTTGTTTTGTAACTTTCATGTAAATGTTTTCTTGTATATATAGATATATGAAAAATGGAACTATTTTCTTACACGTACTATGCAATATGTTTGTACAATTGCAAAATTACCAAAATTACAAAAGCTGTGCTTTTGTACTCTATCTTGCTTTATGTAAAAAAACAAAACAAAACAAAACATTTTTCTATTTAAAGGGACTCCTTCCTATGAACTGTAGATAACATATCTATTCAAAAATAAGTCTATTGTATTCTTTTGTTTAGTTTGGGTGGGGTCTATTTCTTTTGAGTGAAAACACAGCAAAATTTTGGCAATGGGAATTCTTTTCTCAGAAATGAATCCTTACAAAGCATGCAATGAGCCCATATCATTTAAGATCTCTCTTGTAATTCGTGTATTTTGTCCTAATTTCGGTGCTAATGTGTAACCATGATTAAATGTGATAGTCAAACAAAGAGAACCTGAACTCAGGTGCTATCATTTCATTTATCTTCCTGAACAACAACAACAACAACAACAACAAAACAGTTTGGGGGAATATTAGCCTTGAACAGAGACCTTTCCAATAATGTGTTGTCTAATAAATATCACTTCCATGAATATATGTGCTTTGACAAAATTAAGTTTAATATGTACACTTGATAAAATTCTTCACTATAGTTTTCCTCTGAAACTCACACCCAGTGAACTAAGAATCTAAAAATGATTTAACAATAAGATTAATTCACTTACCATGAAATTAGCAAATAGTTTATCTGTTCTGAAATTCTAATGGTCTGTTCTTGGGGTAAAACTAGAAAATTTTGTTGTGTGTACAAACATCTCTATATGTTTATATATCTATTAAACAACAGTCCCAAACACCACAGTAAATAGAAACTCAAGCTAATAAGGATTCTCCATTTTAGGTTTCATATCTTCTTTCTTTCTTTATATTCAGTAAAGAATCAGTACAGTTTTAAAAAATGAAAGAAATACTGTTACTATGTAACCATATGGACAATTCATTTCTATAATCCCTTGAGAGTAACATTGTTCTTTATCGATTACAAAAATAAGTTAGTATCCACTTAAAGTGTCTTTTTTGAAAACAGTGATAACCTTCATTTCTTTTTTATTCTTATAAACTGGTCCAAATACTTACAACAAATATAGAACATCTATACCCAGCCACATCTTTCAAATGTTACTTCTAAGCAGAACACAAAGGATTGCTTTCAGACTGGGCATAATATATGCTCCTTGGCTGCACTTAACCTTCAAAATGATTTGAATGGTTCCAAATGTTTGTTTGCATATTTTTTCCTTTCAAATCCTCAGGCTATTTGCCAATAAACCACTGTAATATAGTAATGTCTGGATTCATACACACTTTCCTCCTGAAAAAAAGAGGTTTGAGAGGGAGAAAGAGAGAGGGAGGGAGGGAGAAGAAGGGATAGAAAAATGAGCAGTTTTCTCTCTATTCACACTCTTACTTACAAAACCAGATGCATGGGAGATCTTTTATTTTTCTTTCTGTAGCAACCAACCATCTTGCACCAGCTGGTTTATCTCACAATTCAATCCAGCTGTGGCACTGTTGTGAGCTCAGACCACACAGGACAAGAGTTCACTCCTACAACACCTCCCTCCCATAGGCAGAACTCAGATTACCCACAACTTTTGACTGGAAGGGCTACAAATCAGAAGTTCCTTTGACCCTTCCCTAGCTTCAGTAATTTGCTAGGGTAGTTCAGGAAAGCATCCCACTTAAACTGTTGCTCATTTATTGCAAAGGATAGTATAAGGCTACAAATCAGCAGCTCAAAGAAGACGCAATGGTGGTTGAGTTCTGAAGGGATCCAGAGTGTAGAGTTGGAGTGGGCAGACTTCCACAGACATTTTCACTAAGTGGCAAATGGCTAAAACTTAGACCCCAAGACTTTGTAAGAAGTTGCATTGAATAGGCATGTGGGTCTCCCTCTTCCTTGGCATCATTGGCAGCTAGTCCACAATGGAGGAGGAAGCAGAAACAAGGGACAGAGTTTAGAGGGCTTGTGAGTACCATGGAAATAACATTCAAGGAGACAGCTTCAATGTAACAGCTCACTTTTATACCAGAGTGAGGGAAGATATAGTGGATGGGAACAGCATCCCAGGCATCACCTAATTGGTGTTTGGCAACATTGTCCTACCATACATCTGGGAGCACAAAACTGAATTATCACATGGGCAGAAGGGCAAGAGTGTCTGCAGGAATCTGTGTCAAAAGTCTCCCTTGACATAGGTTAGGCATTCAGGCTTAGGGACAGCTTCCAGATAGGGTCAGGCCTCCAATCCTAGAAATAATATCCAGGTCTGGAAGAAGTCCTGCTGGAAAGGGAATCTTCCATTTTGCACGGAGCCCAGAGGGCTGTCCAGACACAGTGGACTGCAACCTTAATATGTACCCATATGTATAATTTCACTTGGGGATATTGAAAAATGGAAGTTGGGTAAGGATACTTAGCCAGATAATTCTACTGTTACATTTCAGATCATTGCCATCCTTCTAAAAAAAAGTTGCTACAGAAAACATCACCCCTGTAAACCTTAGAAGTCTAGTAAGTGTCTCCCAATCACCAGTCAAAAGTAACTATCTTTTCAGTCCATGGGACAAACTTTTAAAAGGAAGATGTATTTTGACATTATTCTTTCCCTCCCAATCAGTTGCCATGAAAATAGG